CGAGTTTTATTATGTTAATGTCGAGTTTAAAAATATGTAGTTGTTCAACCCCTAGCGAGGATGGTAACTTGCTTGTTGGACTCTCTGGCTTGTTATAAGCCTGTTCAGGATCCCAGGTATATTCTGTGTGCATGCGCCGCATGCGAACATTGGGAGGGTGAGTCCACGGGGGTGGGCGCGTAACCTGTGTCTCTGCTGTGACAGACACAGACTCAGAAAAGGAAGGGGGCGAAGGGGTCTGTCTTTCTCCATCGCTACTGTGCAGCTTCAGTGAGACATTGAGTGAGACCGAGCAAGAGTGGCTTGTTTATTTAAAATAATAAAGCACAACCCGAACCGAACCTTTAGTCCAGTCCCTCGGCGATCACTGTGTGCCAGGTAGGGATGTAACGGTACGCTAAAATCACATTTCGGTTCAGTTCAGTTTCAAGGAGGGTTCGGTTCGGTTAATTTTTGGTACAAAAAAGGCCAAAATAAAGACTTACAAAATGTTTATTTTGAAAATATGCCAAGTAAACAAGTTCAGTCATTACAGATTCTTAGCTGGAGGTGATCTGGTGGATGAAAAAGACTCATCTGCTATCATCATCAGACTGCAAACAACACAGAGATAAAAAAAAGAGTTAATAAGATGATCATTTTAAATTAAAAAGTTAATTAGATCACAATAATACAATAACAATACCTCTTCTTTCACGGTCATCATATGAGGTGGTTGAATATTCTCTCTCGCTCATCATCATGTGGCAGGGCTTTAAATCTGGGCTCCAGGGCTTGTTGATGATCAGTTTTAGCTTTTTCATAAAGTGCTGGTACAACTTTTTGGCTGAAGAGTTGACGTGATGCGATGTCATAGGCAGTGGGGCTCAAGAACTTTATGTTTAAAGCTGGCGCATCAACAACATTCGGATGTAGATCCAGAGCTTTAAAAACTCCTACAGCTTCAGTGTTTCCCCTGGTTAACTTGCCATGGCGGGGTGCTCATCTCATCCATGATTTTTGTTGATGAGGGGACGGACATATGTCTGAGTGCAGCAGTTTTTGAGTAGGGGCGGAGGGTGTTCAGCTTGAGGGAAGAGGCAACTTGAGTGCTGCCTTTAGCTTTTTAGCTAGAGAGCCTGTATTTTGCGTTGCTAGCTTGGTGCTATGTCAGTGCTGGGTGGGTGGGTGGGTGGTTGGGGCGTCAAGTTCGGTTTGGTAGGCGGGGTGCTCATTTCTGTTGACGGGGTGGGGCACCCCGCTTGTATAATGGTAGGGGAAACACTGAGCTTGTGTTATTGCTTTGGACCAATCTGAATGACCTGATAAAGGTTGTTTAAATGCTGCTGTTATCGGTCTTTGCACCAAACTACGTTCACATTCGGATGATGCCGTTTCAAGAGTGTTAACAAGTTGGACGTGTTGCCTGCGGCAGATCCAATCTTCGTGAAACAATGTCGACACACAACTTTGGATTTGTCGACTTGTATTTTAACAAGAAAGACATAATGTTCCCAAACAGGAGACCGCAACAAGATGGCTTGTTTGTTGCCTGCTAGGCTGCTAACGTTTTCTCGTGCTGCAAGATAATAGCGCCGTGCTGCAACACGCTTAGGAACTTCATTTCCGCGGCTCATAATCTCTCGTTAATAAAATTTAATGAGTGAAAAAATAACTGAAACGGTACGCACGAGGACCGAACCGAACATGCTGTACCGAAACGGTTCAACACTCCCATGTGTACCATTACACCACTAGTGCCATCAGGAAATGTCCCGTTATTCCCAACGGGCAGTCAGCCCCTGTGTTACTGTTATTACAGATTAAATGTCTGTTCTTGCACTTTGAGAAAAACACTTCTAAGTAAATGGGACTTATACTCCAAAGTGACTTATATTAGTTTTTTTCTCTTCATGATGCATTTTTTGACTGATGCGACCTATACTCCGGAGCGATGTATAATCCGGAAAATATGGTATTTCCTTTCAAAACAACAACCAAAAAAAAAAAGAATTCACAACAGATTTAAGCTGCTGAAAAACAGCAGAGCATTCATAAGGTACAGACAAACTGATCTAAAACAAGCTCTGAAAAAGAATATCTAAAAGTGAAAATTCTTTCAACAACTTTTTTTTTTTAATTGCCACGAGTTGTCTCGTTTGTTTTTATGTGTCTCTGCGATGGACTTGTGACCTGTCCCTCGCACAGTGATTGCTGGACATGCGACCCCCGTGACCCAAAAATGGAAGAAGCGAGTATAAGATAATGGATGGATGGATGGATGGATGTCACGAGTGTAAGGATTAATAACAATCAAAACATTTTCTAAAGAACTTGGGGGTTGTCACTATTTACGGTTCATGCTGTTATTAATATTGTATACTATAACGTCTATAGGCTGCTTGCATCAGGCTGAAGTCCTCTCATGGCCAGCAAGTCCCTGATTCTTCCTCTGTGTGGAACATCAACGCTGACAAAGCAACAGCAGCAGCTGTGGATCACTTCAGCAGCCTCTGCCAGCTTTACAAAGCATTTCATCTGCTGTGCCATTCATTGCAATACAGCCACATGATCTTTAAAGAAACACAGTTACGTTTATTTGCACCATTCTGTCTGAGTGTTCAACTTTTGTCAGTGAGAGTATTTTTTATAGTAGGCTACAGTAAATTAAATGTTTAAATCAGATCAGCTTTTTTAATTTAAACATGCAATAAGTAGAAACTTGTTTCTGCAGAAAATGTTAATACAGACAACATACGCAACTCATTTCATTGGTCTAGTTTATAAATACATATTCAGTTCTTGGATGAAAACGTGCAGCTAAATATTAATCTAACAGAGCTTGGCCACTGTGCTCCTAATAATAAGAACTTTGTTAGATTTATTGTTTTACTGTCTTCAGCGTCTCCTTGGGCCAAGTTAATATAAGACAAACAAACCAGCTGCTCTTTATTTTATCAAGAGCACAGAATAATCCTGTGAGTGGGAATGTTTATCTTAGGGGGCCCAAAGTCACATTTTCATGGACTAATAAAATAACAATAAAAGGAACATGCGCTTGTGTGATTTTAACAAACGCTCCTTGGAACATTCCCAGAACTGCTGTAAACAAAAAGCCTGCACAAGAACATTCATTGATTAAGTCAGTTTGCTCATGTTGAGCACATGCAGCTATGATTATATCCAATTTAGTAAATCAGAATAAAACAGCAGTGTTGTAGCACTTTGGACCAGGAACTTCTGGTAAACATCTTAACTTCTTTTTTCACTACAACTGCTTTATGAACACTTTTACCATCAACCCTTTTTGTCGCCACCTAAGAGCAGATGGTGTCATTTGGTTAGCTGTAGGAGCTGCTGGTGCTGGTGTCCAGATAAGTCCTATATATACAGATCCCATAATCCCTTTCCTGCATCAATAGCTATGGCCTATCCTTGTGTGGCTTGTTTTTTTGGTGCTTTTGGCACTTTTGAGAGGCGAGGTCAGTGAACAAGGCCAGGCTGATTCTGGCAGATCCTGATCACCACTCCATGGTGAGTTCAGGTTGTTTCCATCTGGACGCAGACACCTGCAGCCCAGATGTAGGACAAACAGACTGAAAAACTCATTCATCCCTGTAGCGATCAGGCTTCTCAATGAACAGTGATGATTTCTGTTCTGGTATTTTAACGTCTTAATGTCTGGTCTAGTTTTATGTGCCCACTGACTGTGAAACAAACTGCCCCTAGGAGGTAATAGATATTGAGCTTTCATACAACATGACCACAAAGTAAAACTTCGTTACATGAATTATATTAAGGAAATTTGCTTCACTCAGTGTTTAACTCGGAGCATAAATTCACTTTTTACTGGGTCAAAATCTATGCACATTAAGTGTCAAGTACTGAAACAAAGAACCACTTTTTGCTGTAAACGTATTATATTCATGACATTCTCATTCATACAAGTTATGAAAATAAAATCCTTCACTGCTCAATAAGCAGCACATCTTTGCTGACAGACAGACAACTGTACCTGAATGTGAAAACAGCTAAAACCTACAAATCAAAAAGCAGCTTGGTATGCAGCATGCTAGATCGATTTACAACAGCTGTGGGGAGATGGGACCCACCTGTCTGTGGATATCCACGGCACGTCCTGCTCCGAGTGTCCACGAGAAGCTGAAGTTAAGCTGCAACTATCTGCTGCTGATGTGAGACCATTGTAGTAGGCATCAGTTGAGGTGGAAGTGGGAGGAGGTGAAAACTTGTGTAGGCTTTTTTTTCTTCTGGGAATAAAGGGAGGGAACAACTTCCTGAGTCCTCAAAGATCCCAAATTTAGTGGAAAAGGGGAACAGAAGAATGCAGCTAAATGTGGCGCAGGATCAAGACTGAAAACTGAAGGCTGAGGCAGAAAGAGCAGATCTTTAAACAGATTGTTGTGAATTCTCTGTTTTCTTTTTTGAAAGGCTTGAGTTTGTTTTTGAGTGAGCTAAAAATGTCACATTGACATGGGTGTATATATATATATATTCATTTATTTATCTTGGCAAAAAAATGTTTGACACGTGGACAAAGTCTATTTCTCTGCTAAACTATCCAAGATTCGATAATAAAACTCTGCTTCCATAATCAGATCATATCTATACAGCACATTTGACACAAAAACGCCTAAAACAGAAAGACTAAAGGTGTGGCTTTGCTAACCAGATGTTGGCAGGACTCCATCACAGCACAGAGAAACTTCAGCACTTTGAGAAAAAAATCTGCCCCTAGAGAGCAACATTCATTACAAAGTATTGAAATCCCAGAAAGCAAATACAGATCGGAAAAATAATAAACCATAAAGAAGAAAACCAAGATGATATATGAAATATTTTTGTCACAGCCAAACATAGAAGCCAAAGAATCAAGTTAGAGTGAACTGAATAAAACTAAACCTAGACACAAAGTGGATAACATTTTCAACATTAACTCAAAACAATTGATAATAAAAATTGTGAGAGGAAATACACACAGGGTGACGACAGCTCATATTTATTCTGGAAAGACTAAGTAACTGATTGAAAGGACCTGAAGAGTGGCAGAAAATACATAGAATGACTGTTGATGCTGTAAAGAATCAAAACTTTTACAGTATTGTGCAAAACGTTCAGTAGAGCTCTAACCAGTCCACAGCTCTTCTCCATTAGATGTGATAAGACTGGAATGAAGGGGAGAGTGAGCTGCTGTGGTTCAGTAGTACATAAATTAAAAAAATAATAATAATAACACGGTGTCCACGTTGACCAGAGCTGGGTGGAGGAGGACTGCTCCGACCGTACGGTTCACCAGCCCTGTGGGACTCCCCTGGAACGCTCCTCAGAATGGGGAGAGGCTCGGCACTTTGATATTGATGTCTCCAATGTTGATGTTGCGGGGAATCTCGGGCAGATTCATGTTCTTCACAGCAGAGACGGCGCGAGCGGGGGCCGCTGACAGACCGCCCTGCCCAGGAAAAACAACACGGAAAACACCTGTGAACACGTGTGTGTGTGTGTGTGTGTGTGTGTGTGTGTGTGTGTGTGTGTGTGTGTGTGTGTGTGTGGGTGTGTGTGTGGAGCTGTCATGAGCACAAAACGACCAACGTGGAACTGTGTTCATGTTAAGTGACGGATTGGCTCGGGTTTTTAAGACTTTTGTGTAAAAGAGGAGTGAGTCCGACAGGTGGTTATCCACATGGATGTTACAGCAGCTCTTATAAACTGGGCCAGATCAACACATGAGCTGCACAAGCTTAAGTCTAAAAATGAAGCAGTTTTACCATTTTAATGTGTGATTTCATTAAAACCTGCGGGAAACTGCCAGCTTGTGGAAAAAGGACCAAAATATGTTTTTTATTCTTTTTCATTAGATATTTTTAGTAGTCCAGGTTGCAATGATATTCTTAAACCAACACGACTCTAATTGATCTTCTGTTTCTTTAACAAATTTAATAATGGTCATTAAAGACTAGGCCTGTCACAATAACAAATTTTGCCGGGCGATTAATTGTCTCAGAAGTTATTGCGATAAACGATAATATTGTTTGAAATTTGACAATATATAGTAATTGTCAAATTTAAGAATAAATATGGGTTAATTTTTGTGTTTAGTACCTTTTTTTGACCACTGGATAGCAGTATAAGACAGTTTGAACTGAAGGATGGATAGTGAGGGAGTGAGCAGCGTGTCTCTTTAAGAAAAATGGGAAGGAGGCCCCTTGACATGACATGGGCTGTCTCTCGTTCCTGTTTTTCGGTTCTCAAAATGGCAGACGCTTGGTGTGGTTTGAGCTTTTTAGCATAGCATTTTTCACACAAAGCTTTTAATAAAAAAATTAGTAAACAAGTTCTCAGCTTCTTTTTGCAGAGAAAAACAACTTTCTATACGAAGGCACGGGTTTCAACCGTGAATTTTGGAGCTTTGACAAACTCGTAGCTTAGCTTCTCAGCTTAGCTGCTTTTAACGATCCAAAAACACAATTTTGGACGGTTAAAACTGATTTTAAAGATAAAAGAGGAAGGGAGGGGTCAGTGAAGAGCACCGGAGTTGAGCCTTTTGTCATCCAGTGTCTTCAGTAGAAAGAGAGACACGAAGAAACGATAAAGTCGATAAATGAAAATGAGGTTGATCATTTTCATTTATCATTCGATTTATTGTTTTATTGTTTATCGCGACAGGCCTAAATGTTCTGACAACAGTTCTGCTTGAAGTGCTGAACAAGTTAGAGACTTTTACTGGGATGGATTGACTCTAAAGCAAACATAAAGCTGATGTCGAGGGTAACATTAATCTATGCAAAGCTCACGTTACCGTTTGGTTTAATGCCCTGATGACTAAAGTTCACACGAGCCGTAGTTTATAAACTAAAACATGCACAAAAATATAAATACAAAGTAGTCCTTTGATGAGGACAGAAAAGGCCTGACCTCTGACTTTTCCAGACGGTTCTGAACCTCAACTTGAGCTACGATTTCATTCATGTTGGTCTCCAGCACCATGCCCCCCATCACAACCTCCTGCAAGATATAATGGACCTGTGCAGACACAACACAGCAGGTCAGAAACAAAGATTTACCTTGAAGAGTTCAGTTCTCATTCACTCCCATCTCTAAATCTGTCTCAAGCTCTTTGGGGAACACAAATCTGGTCATCCACAGCCAAATCAGAAAAAAAAAACATTCAGCAGTATTTTGTATGAGTCTATTAATGAAAATGTAATCACACCAACTGCATTCATGTTGAACAACTAGAGAGCTCTCCGAGGTCGAAATATTTGAGTAATATTTTTATCTCTGTAACATTTATAAGACCAAACCCACCTGCACCACATGACCTCTATTCCTGCAGGGAAAATTCAGTCAAGATGGTGGAGAAAGCTCTGAGGTTCAATGTGAGAGGTCATGTAACCTGAACAGGAAGGACTGTTGTTCTAAAAGAACCTGTTCGCAGAACACAAGTGGGTTGTAGTTTTCTTAATTAGAAAGTTCCTGGAGAAACTTCGACGGGGACTGCCAGGCTGCTGCCGATTTAAATTCTTGATTTGATGGTAAAATGTGTTGGGGTTCACTCTCAGCTAACACTATACAAAATTTCAGCTGAATAGCTCTAAAAATGGCCGAGTTATAGTCAATTTTGTGTTTGCTGAGGTAGCCATGGAAGCCATCTTGGACCAAAATGGCTCAAAAACTTAAATCAGTTCGAGACATTTATCTGATGATTACTTTCTGTGAGTTTCAAACAAATCCAACAGTTTGTTTCTGTTTTCTTTAGGGGCCTGTTCACTCTGTCATGTGATTAGACAGCAGCAGTTAGTGTGAGGAGTGTTCTCTCATTCATTTCCTATGAAGAATTTAGGGGTCTTAGTTAGCAAAATATGTCACCATGGTAACTCTGATTGCCCAAAAAAGTAATAGCACACATAACAGGGCAGAGCCAGTCGTTTTATAACATTTGTCGGGGTACACATTGTGGTTCGGGCCGCATTAAAGTCGAAAGCAGAGTAAGTTAACGGACACTCAGGAGCGTAGAATCAAGACTGCCTATTTATTATTAAATTATTAATAATAATAAATATTAATATTGACAATTATTAATATTAATAAATATATTAATATTAATAATCATAAATGTGTTATTAATAATTAATATCAATACAAAAAGTTTTAATTATTATTTATGTTTATATTAAGTATTAATATTAATAGTTATTAATATTTGTAATTATCAATATTAATAATTAATAATTTGTTTATTATTACTAATTAATATTAATAATAGGTGATAATAGGTAATAATAGGTGCCTTCCATATATTGCATGGAGGATGATGCATGTTTAGCAAGGCAATGCACTGCTTTCCTTGCATGTTGAACCAAAATGGCTCCATATGTTGCTCAGTTTCTGTTAAGAGTTTTCTCCTATTAATTTCCTACGGGAAATTTGGCATCTTTGTTAGCAAAATATGTCGCCATGGTAACTGTGAATGCCAATAAAAGTAATAGCACACTTCCCGGAGCCGGGCCGGTCGTTTTGATATAACTTTTGTGAGGGTAGACATTGTGGTCCGAGCCGCATTAACGGAGATAGAAATGTAGACTCACTTCCGAGGTGTAGAATAATAGGTGCCTATTATTCCACCTATTACTAAGAAAATGCATTTTATAAACCAACTAATAATAAGCACAGCCACATGCTAGGATAAGAAGGTCTTAAAGTACAACTTTTAGGACACATTTCTTTTTGAGATGTCAGAAAACCAATTTGAACCAAACATCTATCAAAATTAAAGTATTCAGACGAAACATAAACTTTTACACCCTTCGCTGTGCTGTTTTCATCAACCAGTCCAGTTGTTCTTGCACCCTTATCAGGTTTAAAATGAAAGGTTTTGAAGGAGTTCAGTGTTTCCCCTAGTTTACTCGTCTTGGCAGGGCGCTCATCTCTTCTGTTATTTTTGTGGACGTCTGTGCTGTGCGCTGCTTGTATGGACAGTTTTTGAGTAGGGGTGGAGACAACTCATTGTGAGTGAAACGGAGCGCTACCTCCGGCTACCTCTGTACCATTTTAGCTACTGTGTCTGTATTGCACACTGCTAGTTTAGCGCCACATTGATGCCGGCAGTTGTCGATGGGGTGGGGGGTCGGTAGGCAGGGCGCTCGGTTCTGTTGACAGGGCGGGCATCCCTGCTTGTATAAAGGTAGGGGAAACACTGGAGTTTAATAAAGGTAATAAATCTAACTAGAAAGTTCCTGGAGAAACTTTGATGTGGACTGCCAGGCTGCTGCAAATTAAAAAATTGATATGACAGTACTATGTGCAGGGGTTCACTCTCAGTTACCACTATACCAAGTTTGAGCTGAATGGCTCTAAAAATAGCTGAGTTATCTTTTTTTTTTTCTTTTTAGCTAAGTCAGCCATCTTTGATGTTTTTTATTTGGATTCAGTATGTGATAGGGATTGTTCTCAGCTACCACTACACCAAATTTCAGCTGAATCGCTTTCAAAATGGCCGAGTTATCATATTTTTTTCTCTTTTAGTTAAGGCAGCCAACTTGGATATTTGATTTGCATTAAGAATGTATAACAATTCGCTCTCAGCTACAACCATACTAAATTTCACCTCAATGTCTCAAAGAATGACCAAGTTATAGTCAATTTTTTTGTTTGCTGAGGTAGCTACGGCAGCTATCTTGAATCAAAATGGCTCTAAACGTTAATCAGTTCTAGACATTTATCTGATGGTTACTTTCTGTGAGTTTCAAACAAATCCAACAGTGAGTTTCTGTTTTCTTCAGGGACATCTACACTCCAAGTCATGTGACTTGACAGCAGCAGTTCGTGTGAGGAGTGTTCTCCCATTCGTTTCCTACGAGGAAACATGGCATCTTTGTTAGCAAAATACGTCGCCATAGTAACTCCGATTGCCAATAAAAGTAATAGCCCTAACTTAGAGATTGAGCCAGTCGTTTTGATATAACTTTTGTGGGGGGACACATTGCGGATCAGGCTAGGTGTAGAATAATATGTGCTTTCCATGCAATGCATTGACAGTCTCCAATAACACTTGCAGCCATTTTAGGAGATCTAAATGTAGATGTTGTTCCAGTAAAAATAAATCAACTCGTACTTAAAACAAGGGAGTCAAAAAGGTTTTATGAGCTCAACCATCTAAATCTAACCAGTTTATCTATAGGCCCATGTGAAAGTTTGTGCCAAATTAGAAGAAAAAAAGTCCTTTGGGGCATTTTGTGAAATCACAGTTATGATAATGAGATGACAGGAAATACAAATACAAGTGGAAATGATTGGTGCTTTTGCTCTGATGACGACTGAAATGATTCTGTTGTTCAGATAAATCCCATGAAGACAGGCAGAGTTCCATCAATCATATGACACCCACTCACCTTGTCCACGTGGAATATGAGGTCCAGCTCACACACATTTTCAAAGCATTTATCCAGTGTTTCCACAAACACCTAAAGTGAAGAAGAAAAACATTTGTGTCAGAAAGGAAAAGTTTTTTTGAGCTACAGACAGTTTTAACTTATTCAGTCTCCTCGGGGATGTGAATTACTGATAACTAAAATACAGTACTCCCTCACTACTTCGCTTATCGTGGACTCACTCTATCTCGTTTTTATTTTAAAATACTGTACATGTACATAATATTTTCAACAAAAAAAAAAGTGCCACCTTTTAGTAGTTTTCTTTCATTAAGCCTTCACTGTTTTGCCAGTCTAAAGAACTACGTTACCCAGAGGCCATCAGTTCACCTCTCGGAAGTCAACACTGCTCTTTCAACCACTGCTTTCTGCAAATGGAGGGACAGTTTTGCAGCAAAGTCAGAAGTTCTGTAAGTTCTGTTTCTCACAGGACTGGCAGGAAAGTCACAAATAATTCTGAAGCTGAACTCATCCTTCAAGTTGTATCTTCACTGCTGAGCAGCTGGACTACAGCTGATCCAGACTCAGTGTGACTCGGATCCTGGGAGCTGCAGACAACAGACGGCTGCACACTTCAGTCAGGGTCTGGTCGCGCTGTGCTGGTCCGGACCGGGCCAGAGGTGGTGGAATAAATCCTGGGCAGCAGCACCCGCACATCAAGCTGGACGGAGCGGTGGGCTTCAGTCATGCTGTACCGGGACTTTTTTCATTTATCGGGTCGGACCGGAACCAAGCCTGTTCTGTACTGCAGAGCCTGGTAAGTAAAATGTTGTAGCTCCTGTACATATAAGTACTGGATGTTGTTAAAATTAGTAGGTTTAAGAGTTTAGAGGACTGATTTGTGGGCTTCATCGCAGCAGGATAGGTCTGCAGAAACAACCAGAGCCCGAATAGAACAGAGTTGGACCGGAACCAGAGCTGTTGCTGTTCTGCAGAGCTATTAAGTAAAATTTAGTAACATATGTTGTTAAAATGACAAAGGTTTAAGAGTTTAGAACATTCCAAGAGTGTGGGAAGGGTTTCTAAAGCCTTTAATATAAAGTTTACTGTACTTGAACTTGAACTACTGTATTCCTATTTCGTGGTTTTTCACTTATCGCGGAGCTTCGGGGTACGGACGCCCCCGCGATAAACGAGGGACTACTGTACTGAACATGGACTAAGGCACAATGGTGATCACAGGCCGGGATTAAAAGTATATTTTTTCTTTATAGGTATTATACCAAATGTTAACAAACATGGACAGTCATTGCTGATTAAAACAAAAAGTAAAAAGCCTTTATATTTGAAAAAAAACTTTGACTTGGCAGCCATCCTCCTAGAAAATACAAAAAACATTTCCAATAAAAAAAAAAAAAAAAACATTTAAAGCATCCAGAAAGGAGATGGTAGGTCAAAAATGATTTTGGTTGTAAAAACAAAAACGAACTTGTGGCACAAGCAGCTTTTGTAACAGAAATATTTCCAATTATAAGAATGTTTTGTGAGAACGTTTTGCAGCTACTGTGAAAAGGAACATGAAGTTAAACTTAATAAGGCATTAGATACTTTACACAGCAATTCAAAGAAGGAGCAACTGACCTGAATCAGGTCTAAAATGCCGAGCTCACTCTCAGACGAGTCCACACAGAAGACAAAGTAAAGCGTGGCATAGTGCCGGTAAATCAACTTGTAGTCTGAGCCACCAATGAGACTGAAAGCAGAAAGAAAAACACGTAACAAACC